ATAAATGATGGGCTATCAAGTACAAATGAAATGTAAAACAACTTCGTCCCCCTATAAAACTGGCTATTGAGGGAGATGTTGACAAATGTGCTGTCTGTAGAGATAGATGTCTAGCAGCCCTTGGAGCGCGTCTAGCTCAGGTGGCCCGGGCCTTAACTAGGTTAAGTGAGAAAGAATACCAAGTGGTCTGAAACACTGTGATTCTTGACATTCATAGTTATTTCCCCACAATCACTAACATAGTTGGTGATTAAGGTGTTGGCAGCCCAATCTAACAATGATAGATAATAAGAGGATATAACCTCCCAAGCGAATTTTGTGAATAATAATTTTGCTAAGTGACTGACAAAAACAATATACAAAACCCAACACTATACTTCCACCTAGGCTAATTAGTTATGTATGTTGATTCCTGTCTTGGGCTTTGAATTACTCACGTGTTTATTTACAATATGTGTCGCTTGAACCAAATTATCTTATCTAGTATCACTCGATTGTAAACTAATGTCAGTGATTTGGGATACTGGTAAGCTATGAGGCATCTCCTTGGACTTAAAGAGTTGAACCTGTAGTCTTATTCAACATTCAATAAAGTAATGTTTCTGTGGTATGACGTTGTTTACAGTCCAAAACACGGGTGTATATACTCCACATTCCTGCAAATAACGGCAGTTTCACTATTTACACTAACACCTGCATGTGGAATTATAACGACAAAATTTTACCTGCTAGTCTAAGGAAATTGACATTGCAGACATAGTGAAGAAATCGTAGAGTAGAATATAATGGTGCACACAATGTATCATGTTTTGGTTGTGTGCTTACTCGAGCGATTCCTGCAAACACAAACATCAAGGGACTTTGTCAACACTGTGTTATTCATTAATCACACGTGACGTTGACATGAATGGGGCCACACTCCCAGGAACTGTTAAATGAATTACTCATTCGTACTCGTAATAAGCGTTCTCTATATATCTATCTGTCGCTTATGCGTTAAAGTTTATTCAATAAAATAAGTTCACCATAATTAAAATGCCCTAAGTATAACTGTTTTAAAGGAGCTACAGCATTAGCCCAAAGCCAATAACACATTGCTAAACTCAAACTTATCCACTTATAAATCTCTTATGAATATATAAGCCAATTCTGCAAAAGTGGGTAATTAGTCTATTTTAGAACATGACTTTTACTTCCCAATCATGATACCCCCAAACACATTCGTAGTAAAGAATATTTAATTCTGACGTTTAGGCACACACATTTACGCCTTTGTCATATTTAAGGCAAGGGGGCCACACAAGTGCACCAAACAGATTACCAAAATAACATCAAAATTGGGGACTCGGTTTTAAATACATACGGTGACAGCAACTATTATGAGTTAAAATCAAGGTGACAGTCTTGTCCAAGACAATCTCCACCTTAATTTCATCTCCTAACTAATGGTTAGTGAATATATCTAGATAAGATAGACTAATATCATTATAATCTTGATGCAGTCTTCGATGATTTGTTTCAAATAAACAAGTCATATGTATTCTTATTCATCAGTTCCGTGGAATATTCATCGTTGGAACACTTGTGAATCTACACCTGGATTAGTATTTAAAAAATGTGGGCAAATCGCATTTTTTTAAACTCTTAGTGTTGACACCCCAGCCATCAAGAGCTGTACGCTAGGTCAGCACAAACCAAATCTTAAATGACGCCTCAACTCCAATTCAAACTAGTTTAAATTCGCGATTTAGGTCAGGCGAACCAACAGGTGGGAGTTCAAGACCTGCGTCCGTGGCAGCAGTGGGGAGAATGCTGTTATGCTACTTAAGTCAGCGGCGGCAGCGTGTGACCTATCCACTTATATTGTACGGGAGCGGTAGGGGGAGGCGCCACACATCTGCCCACTATCACCCCCCCCCCCCTCCCTCCCAGACCCCACCAATAATAGCCCAGACTCGCCACACCACACCTTCCTCTCTCTCGTTCTCTAATACTGGAAGGAAGTGTCTCGACTTTTTATCAGGGAAAGCGTTACAAAGACCAAATTAATGTATCCGCCCACCATAAAATGGATTATTCATATGGCAACGGGATTGAGAGGCATTCCTGTGGTGGGTTATCAAAGTCTAGCCTGGAGAGCACTGTTATGGACAACTGAACGAACAATTCTGAGTACTGTGAATATCAAAGACGTAATCAAGTACTCTCAATCCATACAATGATAATAAACACAGTAAGACCACCACAGCGCTGTGAACCGATTATTTATTTCATCCTTGTTTTCGACAATTTGGCACGTGGCTGGCAAGCCCGAGCGTCACCCTGGCCGTCAACAACACACCTCTCTTAAACATCTGAGACACATCACACCGAAGTGCATACTAGGCAAGCTGAGTCAAGCACTGACGTCAGCTGAACAAGAGCAGCTGACGATCAGGAAGAAAACTGATGACAAAGAGGAAGACAAGCGAGTATGTTTGTGAGGGTTGACAGATTACAGGTCGGGGGCGCGTGGCTTACCTAGCAACACTGGGTCACCACCACCCACCACGAGGAGCTCTGGTGGTGGTCTTAAACCTTGTTCTCCCTATTGGTACATCATACAAATACGAGTTGATACAGCAATACCTTCATAAGTCTGTTTTCACAACATAAATATAATAAGGTTGCGTGATCCATTTCCCCAGTTTATAAGATACTAAACTTGAAATAAAAATATTTTTCACTTTTATATTTCCATTTCAAACTTCCTGCATTACATACTTAAAAACTCAACACATTATATAAAATATCCCGAGTGGGAAGTGGCCCTCTCCTTCACTTGTGCTGACTACGGCCACCAGGGGTACACACACATATGACTGACTCTCACCATTGTTGACATTCCGCTGATCAGGTCAATTAGCTGCCTCACTCCACGCTTCTTGAGAACCTCTGCTGACCTCAACAGTCTGCTTGCTAATCTCCTTAGTTTAGCAGTCTCTGACCTCACATCAACCACACAAACTAGACCTAGGAACGTTATATGACGCACATGTTAGTATGACGGTCATGTGAAGGTAAACATTAGAATTAGTATTTTAATAACTCCATAAAAACATAACCCGCCCCAGGCTACAAACGTTTCATAACAGTTCTTTAAATAATTTTCCGTCAAAACTCCACATTAATATGTGCAATCTCACGCTATCCCCATTATGAAAATTGTAATACTGTGTTGTAGTGTCTCGTCTAGCGGCGAAATTTTTTTAAAATGTAACGAAGATATTGAGAAAATCCAACCATTAAGTTGTCGGAGGTGACTTTGGACATGTTGCCAAGCTTTACCAGCAGTATTAAGAACTTATTTCCGTAATTCTAAAAGGCGTTACCTTGTTTATGGATGTACCGAAAGTACGTACTTAAACATTTAAGTGAAGGACAGAAATACGTGTAAACGATAGTACGCACATATTTTGCACAAAGTGAAGTATGACAAGGGTTTAATTACCTCCTAACACCGTTAGTGACAAAGGACCACACAGGGCTGGCTAGCTAATGACAGGAGCCACGCGGGGATGACTGACTACACTCCAACCAAAGAGAGCCACAGGGAGGACAGACAGGGGCCACATGGGGGAGGGCTGGCCAAGCAGCAGGCCCGCGTGACCACGTGATCGGCCACATCCTCTCAGTGACCTTGCAACAAAGCGACAACACGCACCAACCTCAACTTTAAATGCAAAATAAAAATACATTATATACAATAATAAAAAAGTAAATCTCTCATACAAAGTATTCGCTCCACCATCATCAACATTTTGATCAAATTAGGATTATTCTAATTAAAGACAAATCTGGAACATCTGAACGAAAACGAACTAGGTGTAAAAATGTGGAGGTGGAAATAAAATGACGCCGTCCGATATCATGGACAATATTGGCTTAAAAGGGCATATGACATGACGTTACTCCAGGCGTGACACCTACACACCGATGGTTACACACAGATACTTTACAGTAAGGTAATAACAGACAAAGGAAGCCCCGGCTATCTACCTGCTGCTCCCACCATCGCTAAACCTTCCAAGTTTTCGTTCAAACTCGACAAAGAAGTCAACAACTCTCCGCAGTAAATGGCAGACCACACCAGCCCGACACCCACACCAATACCACTTATTAAACCCAATTTCAAAGTAACAATGAGTGGTAATAGCCGATTGAGGGAAAAAAGTGTAATATAATAGAGGTCGGCAACAGCAATATTCTCGTCTCAGGGTGGCATACGCAACCTCCCCTGCTGCCATCCTTCACCACCATTATTTAATTATTAACTCCTAGCAAATAAATGCATAGAAACCCACTTAACTTACTCATAACCTTATAAGCTATAATACCTTGTAACAACGCCATCGTGATGAAACACTACGAGGGAAGTAATGAAAATAAAGAGAGTAAATTTCGGTGTTCGTCATCGTGTGCGAGCGTCAGAGGCGTAAGCGGGGCGACCTATGCATGACTCGCCTCAACGTCCACGGCGGAGTTTTACTTTTAACTTTCATTTCTCTCAGAGACTATAACACCTCCTCCCTCCCTCCCTACCCCATCTCGGTACACACGCACTTTCCCAACACCCTCACCCTTTCTCTCAACACCCCCACCTTCCTTCATCTTTCAAACAAACTTCAATTTTAATCCCTGTAATTATGCCGTCTTCATCGTGAACCTAGGACTGGTGAGTGTCGTTATCTATAGACTGACTCACTCGTTACGATAATATCAATCTCTCCACAATAAACAATTACCCCAACACAATCCAAGTTCCGTGCCACACTAAGAACTTATATGGTGTTATAATACACCTGAACTGAGGACGATACTTGTCTAACTTACCTCATCCATACATTAATCACTGTAACCACCACTTATTTTCACGTAACTTTAAGCACCACGGTATGGGATCCAGCACGACAATGGTACCGTAACCATAAACAAGCCTAAATCTCACTTGAAACACTTACCTTTCTAAAGATTTCACAAACCGATCACTCCGGTAATTAACACTTTTATTATGTAATAGTAATAGATAGTTATTAGTCCCAAGTGCGTGGGCGGGGGTGAGTGAGGCACACACGAACACCTTGCACACCACCACAAGACTGAACGAATAAGTCGCTGTAACCAACTCACCAAGCAAACTCTAACACGTACACACGAACACACTCACCCAGGGTACGTCACACACTGCGAAATTTACTCTCATTTTATCATTAACCACAAAATTCATTTTTTTTATAAAAAACAATATAAACACTATTACAAGAATAAGGAAAATTATCGTAAATGTATCAATTATATTAATTAGCAATAATTAAAAAGATAATAAATAGTGTACACTCCGGCAACACCAACTCCAAGAAATCGACTAACCGGCCACCAGCCGCCTTGCTTTACCCGGGTAAAAAAAAGCAAGACCTTGTAACCTCTGTTTGTACCCCCCCCCTCCCTCTTCCACCTTGTCTCCACATTAAACTTTATTTAAATTTCCCAAATTTTGTGAGGTAGTAGGAGGACGAGACTATCTGTGTTGGTACAGTATCTGAAGTTCTTGAAAGAGAAATTCAGATGTGGAAACTGTGTAATGGCAGGTTCCGGTGATGGTTCTAGGTATCGGGGTCGTGAGTAAGGGCGGCGGACCTGGGATTTTGGTGTGTGTGACCCCCACCTGTAAGCCAGACGAGCTGTCACCTCCACTAGCACTAATGGACCATCCATCTACCCCGTTACCATACTCCAGCGCCGTCTCCCCCACACTCACCCATAAATATTCACGTTAAGCTTCAAACTACATCTTATTGTTTCCCCTAAATGAGGTTGAATTAAGAGGGAGAGAACCCCGCTACAACAACTCGTCCTGATGCCGCTTGTCCCCACCACCGACATAACAACACTCTTTGTCTCCTCCTCACACTTACTCCACAAACACGCCATTACCGTTCCGGAAAATCCACCTACATGGGTTAAGTTTATCTACATTTGTATTTGTATTAAGCGTACAAGGTAGACATCCTCCACCTCCCTCCAGGAAAACTCGGGACGTTGCGCAAAAATTCTTGTGTGTTGCTCGCTATCACCCAGACCTCCACCCCCAGAATTTACTCCTGCCATATCAACTTTATCCTATTTTCTCAACTTTCTTAATATATTACCTAAGCTTCCAAAACATTGCAGTTCCCTTCAGATAGTTACTGCGGATAATGCTGTAATGTTAAATTAAAAATATGTTTAAAATTCAAGAACATAATATAATACTGCGCATAATTTCGCCATTCGACGTGTTGGCCGCGTGGATGAGCTCAGGAAATGACAAATGGCGATAATTATAACCTCTATTCTATTGATATTTATGCCCCCAGACTTGTAAACTTCTTGAGAGCTCTCACTCATCCGATATTACTCTGCGGGGAATTCTGTAAGTAAGAATAATAAATAAAGCAACTATTGTAGCACGTTAGTAAGGCGAGGCAGTAGCAGAATGCACACCATGTGAAGTCGTTGAACTAAAGTGTATCATCACTTATATGAATCATACCACAACACACACACACACACATACTACGTCGTAGCCTGCCCTCACCATACTAACACTAAAACATATGATACACAGACACCCACACACGTATGCACAAATACACCAACATAACAAATATACTGACATTAATTAACAAAAACCAGTTTAGAGAAACTGAATGCCAAAATACTCAGACACGTGATCACAGGTGCATATTAATACACATACGACCAAGCAACAACACAAACAACTAACGAATGAATATTGATTTCCTAGAAGACATTCAGAAAAGGATGACAACGTTAAGTAGAGACAAAGAAACATTATTTTACTGTACATCCACTTGAGAGACGTAGAGTGAATAGCGATATGATCGAAATATATAAATGGAAGTCGAGGTTAAATAAAGGTGATGTAACTATGGGACTTAAACAAATAAATCAGTGGCGAACACGTAGTAATAGTTTTAAGTTAAACAAATTTAGAGAGTTATGTTAACGCTGGTTTGGAAATAGAGTTGTGGATGAGGGGAATAAGTTACCAAACACCATCATTAAATCAAAACTCGGTGGGAAGCTTCAAAATATAGGCTGGACAGATAATAGTGACACAGGTATACCAGGACTGCCTTTTATGAGTCCTTACTAAACAAACCCGGCTCGTGTGTTTTTAAACTGTTAACATCAAACTTCGGACAAAAGTGCCCTTAAGATAAACATTGCAAAAATATGAACTATACAGTAATTACTTATAATATTAATATGAATATCCGTATATGTACAGTAAGCATCACATTGTTCATTATATACAATAACCCGAACAGCAGTTACAGTGAAATCAGTTCCATTGAACCTTATCATTATCAAACGGCCATTCAGTCTTTTGAATTTGTTTAATATTTCAGACCGTTTTCCTGTCTCCCGTTTTCTAGCTAACATATACACACACGTACACAAATGATATTATCACTTACCAAACACAAAAGTATACACCTAAACTTTTCAAGTACAAAGAAAAAGACGGTAAGTTAAGCTTTAAATAACTTCCTTAGGCTATCATTCATTAACTTGCTGTTTACAATTGTGTATCCCTTCATTGTCTAGTTGTATACTGAACCAATACGAACTTATACGACTTCATTGAATAAATATGTCTATATTATTGACAGACAGCCTAATAATCTTTCATATCCAAACACAAAGCACGATATAGCATGATGCACAACCTATCCTGCCAATGTCAAAGAGCATCACAAGCAACAATGGTCACTAGCTTCAAGTCAGGTATTAACCAATAACAGAAGAAAACTTATCATACATCTGTGAGGAAGAGGGAGAGTGGCCGAACATGTGTGTGTGCCTCATCTGAGTGACGTGCGTGTGTGGTGGTACCCTCACCCCACCAGCCACACACCCCCACGCTACACCCACCCTGGTACAGGCGGCCGCCAGGCAGACATGGGGAAGGGGGGGAGGGGGTCAGGAGTAGCAAAGAGGAGGTGGGAGGATGAGCGAGGCGGGTAGAGGAGGTGCAGGAGGGGTAGTGGTGGGCAGTAAGGTTAGCTTGGCTTGTGCTCCCACAGACAGGTTGTGTGGTGGTGGTGTGCCCCGGCTACTGACCTCACCACCATGACCCCACCTCTCTTTATCACGCATCGCCCACGGCTCAGAATCTCAGATACTGGAGTCTCTACAATCATTTTTTTTCTGCATTTGAAGATAGGAAAGCACATACTAGCTCATTTAATCTCGATAACAAAAATGATGACAAAAATAGCACTTATGAATACATAAATGTCTTCTTTACCATCAATTTAAAGGAAAAGAATTTACGTACAAATATTAGAAAATCTAGATTAAGCTTTATCTCTGGGTCAACTAAATGAAGAGCTTCATTTTAAACTTCCTAGGTTTCTTTTGAAACTATCACTTGTTTTAACATTCCTAATATTAATTCATTCTTAGTATTTAGTGCATAAAGGGATTATGAACGATATCAAACAAGTGAAAGTGTTGTACATCTGTAAGACCAGAGGTAAAACAAGTGAAGTCATCAGTAGGGTGGTGCTGCCATACCCTCACTTCTGCCTAACACTATTATATGAACCTCACAATCATCTTCACACACATACACACACGCACACACATGTGCACTCCCGCATCACACCACCAGCTGTAAAAATGTGCCAGCTGTGTGTGTGTATAGCGTGTTACGGGCCCCCAGAAAGAACACATACCCTACTTAATTATACAATAAAGAGATGATGATCGTCTCTGTGCTAATTGGCAACTATTTCCTCTCTCAGTATATTATGGTTTAAAAATTTCGCCTACCCGACATCCAGCCCAAAACAATGTTCCTTCCCAATATTTACTTCTTCCTCCTTCGCGCTAACTAGGTGAGTGGAGCGTCGTAATTCGCGTGCAACACGTCAAATAACACAGATAGAACTCCTGTTTCCTCAGTCAACAGTAAAGACCTTATTCATTCTCACGCTGACCAACAAAGAAGTAACTTTAGTTCTGGGAATTATGGCGATTGGTATTAATAATGGTGTCCCGCGCACAACGGCACTCGAGGAGTCCCCCCTCACACACACCGGCCTGGTCACTCCCTTCCACTCACCGCCCAATTTTTCATTTACATTCGTCTGAAGTCAAAAGCCCGTGTGATCCCTTGGTTACGTTCAATCATTTCCATTTGTCACGATAGCGAGCGACACACACCTACACATATGACGGAACCAAGCCTACGAGCTGGTAACAGGTGATTAGATGTTATCTTGATGTTATCTTAGTGCCACTGTGTTCCGACGCGGTGGTATATGTTGTCGCATATAAGGTATGAGTAAACTTCCTAAGAAATCGATAAGAGAGGAGCTCACATTAGCTAAACATCTGACCAGTCATGGAGCTGGGCAGAGTACACATAACAGCAACCACCACGAGACAGATGACAGTAATATTGTCACAGGGGTAACAAAAGCCATACATTAGCTCACAACGGTCATCACTTAATTAATAGCGCGCCCCACCGAGAATACCTCATATTCTTCATTGATAATAGATGCCACATATATAATTTCAAAATATTTCACTGTTTATTTCAACTTACACTTTTTCACAAAATAAATGAAGTCCTCGATAATTCAAATTTTATATATTATCATTTCACGGCCAGCGGTGTCAACAGCGAAGATGACTATACATTAAAGTTATTCCCAGAAGACGTATGCCACAGAAAGTTGAAGAATTTTACGTATATTACTAACGCCTATAACAGACTGATCTATACTAGAATAACCACTTAAGAATTAGTTTGCACTGCATACCTAAATATGTACATGTACTTAAATATCTGAATAAACTTTCCAAATCTGAACAAATATTAGCTCGGCTGCCCACCCGACGTCATTATACATCTGGCAGCACGAGAGCCGTGGGTGCGCCGGCTGAAATTGGCGGGAAAATATTGCCTGCTTCCTAACACGTCCTTTCCATGAAATCTGCCCTTGAAACACAACCCCGTGTACACCCAGTAAGCCCTATCACTGCTACACCCCTCTCTGCATCGCAGTATCCTACTGACCATTTACACATCA